AACTCGTTGTTGTTTTATCCCGTTGGCCGACTCAAATCTTTTGTACATTATGTAAATAAATTTATTTATTTTATTCTTACGCTTTAGGCCAGGCAGTACTTTTACTAAATTATGTATTCTATATATTCCTTAAGTTCAATTAAATAAATCAATGGTCAAAACTCTTTTATTATTCCTACGACTGCATTACCATAGCATAATCCTCGATATGATAAAAAAAATCAACAGAAATATCATTCTTAAATATAATATAAATTTTCCTATTATCCTCATCATAATTATTTTATATAATATATATAGTATATTTTAAACTGTATAATAATGACACTTTTAGTATATTTCACATATCATCCAATTAGTTAGAGCCGATACTTTATACGACCATACCCTTCTATTAAAATGTACACTGCTCCTATTTTCTACCACCTCCATATTTTGTATATATGCTATATCTTTATTAGTATAACCTGTACGCCCCTATTTGTATTTAACCTCAAAATGATGACGTCAAAATAAAAATCCAAACATGGTGGCAGCTGGGGGCAGAGAGAGAGAAAGAGGAAATAGCTAACGCCCAGATGAGGCCCACTTCAGGGTTTTTATAGAAGACTCCGGTAAACAGAACAGGTTTTAGTAGGGGGTCAGCGGCAGTATGTTCTACAGTGTGTCCATCGGCAGACCGCTTCTGTCTCTCTCGGTCTCTCTCTCCATGCCTCGGTGATAGGCATCCAAGTTTGTATCATGGCCTCTACCTCTGTCCCGTGGGCTGTCCCCGATCACTCTCGGTGCTAACATCCAGCCCTGCCTCTGCTTCTTGTTGTCCGCGTGTGGGAAGAACATCAACACTCGCCTCCCGTTCACGACTGCCAGTTTATCTATAGGTCGACAGTACCATTTAAAACAATATTACATATATATGTTTTATATAATTATAAAGATATTTTCTAGAACAATTTTATGGAGTCAGCCTCCAGATAGCGCTGCTTACAGCTATATAATTCAAGTTTTTTGTCTGGTACCTTTTTTTATTATCTAAATAAAAATTCAAGCATTTTATTTCTTCAAGTCTCAAGTCAGGTGTTCTTTCTTAAAACTCTTTTTATATACAAAGTGTCTATATTACTTTCTAAATGATCTAGAAAAATGGTTCTCTTTGAAACTTCTGCAGAACAATTCGCAAAAATACCCATATTTTAGATCAGTGAATGATCTCAATGGGAAATAATATAATAATATAGAAAAATGTAAAATCAGCAAATTGATAAAATCATTATCAAAAATATATACCAAATATGAATATATTAAAGTCAAGAAGCATATACTGATAGCTTCTATGATCATTTTAAATGGCAGAGCGCCATCTAGTGAAACAAAAATCAACTAAACGTTGATTTAGGCTTGCTCCATAATATCAACCCGCTTATTGATAAAAAAAAGATAACCACGATCGTGTGTAAGGCTGTTGAATTTTGTCCGCTTGGGACAGACTGATATAAATATATATAATCGCAATGTCAAATAATCAATAATATCTGAATTTTTATAAATATTTGAATCGAGAATAGTTATTATTATTTGTTAATTTATAGATAAATGTATCAACAGAAAAATATTGTTATTCTTAAAACCCGAGTAGATGATAAATAATGCCTGGCTAAATTCTGATTGAACATCTTCAGCCTAAATTTTACAAAATAATATTTTAAATTGATACGAGTATATAACACAAACAAAGCTTTATTGATACCACCGGTCTTATACAGATTCACCACAGAAAGAAAGGAAGCATAGATGGAGCTCATATACTCCAGGCAACATAGAACCCAACAATAGCCTTCCAGGTCCGACGCATATCCAATGGCCACACGTTCCTTCGTGCATACGTCATGGTTAGCGAATCACTGAACAGGCGAGTGTGGAATCAGTCGCGTTCTAGTCTTCGCTTTCCTCGTCCAAATGAACCACAGAAATTGCCATTTTGAATGCTTCGTTCAGTTGCTATTCGAATAATACCGGGTATTTCGGCCTGTATAAATTGATATATCAAGGCAGCGTGTTGTTTACTTGGTATATTTTGATAGGCATGTCATAGGAACGAACATCCTTTTCTTTAAATCTGTTTCAGTGGCCCTCTGTATTCTTCTAAACTTAATGGTTTAGCAAAAGTATCATAATAGGGTTGCTGTTGTTGTTGTGTCCAATGAAGAACCTCAGATGTCTCCATACATCTCTATCACAGCAGAAGTAATGTCCACTATCTTGGGTGTGTAAAGCTGCTGTTCTGGGTCCATGTCAATTTTCTGTTGTTGTCGTGTCCAATGAAGAGCCTCAGATGCCTCCATGTATCTCTATCACAGCAGTCGCAATGTCCTCTATCTTGGGTATGTGAAGCTGCTGCTCTGGGGCCATGTCAATTTTCTGTTGTTGTCGTGTCCAATGAAGAGCCTCAGATGTCTCCATGTATCTCTATCACAGCAGTCGCAATGTCCTCTATCTTGGGTGTGTGAAGTTACTGCTCTGGGTCCATGTCAATTTTCTGTTGGTGTCGTGTCCAATGAAGAGCCTCAGATGTCTCCATGTATCTCTATCACAGCAGTCGCAATGTCCTCCATCTTGGGTGTGTGAAGCTGCTGCTCTGGGCATAACAGGGTGATGGAATATTGTAAATGCAAATGTAGAACTGGTCTATACATATATAGACATATGAGTGCGCTTACAGTAATTGCAACTAAAGAATCATAACAACAATGATTATAAAGACTAATAACATTTGACTTGTAATAAGTGACTAAAAATAAATAAAACGATAAAAATACGAGATATGTAGAGTGGTTGTTACTTAAAGATTCTTTGAAATGCTTAATTTTCAGGAGCTTGTAAGCTAGCTATCATATCCTGGCTATATCGCTGTATATGACCTCGTGGAATGGAATTGAACCAGAGATTTATGTCAGTGTTTTTTTTTCTTATCCCTAGTACACGTGGTACAGGCCATGATAATCATGGTGGATAGAAGTAGGGGATTGCTCTTACTGTAAGTGCACCACATGTCTACAAATGTGGAAATCAGTTCGGCTAGCACTTTAAAAATATGCAAGAGCACCGTTTGGTTACTTACACTCTCTAGTGGGGTTGGACATTTGGAAGAATCGGGGGCCTTTGGAGAATTTTTTTAAATCAGAAAAAAAAGTGCCCAATGCGGGAATCGAGCCCGGGTCATAGCGGTCCAAAACTAACGGTTTAGACCATCCTTCCACCGACCCTCCTTTATATCAGCGTTATGAAGGTAAATAAACCAGGCAGTGTCATTTTTCCTACACGAGAGTTAATTGCAACTCCTGTATTATATACCAAGAAAATACAGGGTATATTCCAAACCAATCCAATACAATAGTAATGCGGTTTAGAGATTAATATGGCGAAACCGCTGAGAGGGTTCACTACTGATGAGCCAACCCCTTTCATTCAATAACTTATATCATTGCAGTAAGGTCTGTAGAGATAATATTATATGATATTTAAAAGAAATACATTGCCAGTAAATTTTTTATATGTGTAAAATTTTAATGATAAATGGAAATTAAATTTATAAAGATTTATATCTAATAAAGAATAAATATTCAACTTAAGGAATATACCAATTGAATTTAGACAATATAAGGTTAACACAGCGATAATATCATTATATCTATAAAATGAAATCCAAAATCTATGTTTGTTATCGTGTTGCGCAAAATCAACAGAATCAATCATTATGAAATTTCGCATGTAGGTAGCTGAAGATTTCGTTTAACATATAGGCCATTCAAAAAACTAAAAAGGTTAATGTGCTTTTTAAAAAAAATTAAAACCAAAAAGCGTTAGTTCCAGTCTTTTACCGCTTGGCCACAATTATGAATTGTGAAAATGCTAAAATGTGTTCCAAGTATAATAAATTTAATATTTAATTTGAGGATTTAGCAATATAATATTCCAATGACGTTGTAAAAAAACTTGGCATTTCAATATAAATAAATATTTAGAAAAAATATCTTATTTAAAATTTAATAAATGTTTTCAAAAAAATTATGCTTTTCTAAAATATATTTAAACGCATATAACAATTATTATATACGTTTATAAATCTATATATAGAATCGTTTTAAAAAATATTCGTTAGGCAAACTTTTACTCGGGTAAAAACCGGGCGAAGCCTGGTACATTCGCTAAATACAGTTATTTACAAATATTCGTTTGTGGCAAGATACTATTCCTTCAACTTCAAATTACCGAGTGGACCAATTAATATTGATTTTATTCAACTTATCGAGTATTTTTCATGGGACAATGAAAAAAATTCAAATTATCGAGAGTATAGACAAGTATAGATTCAGAAGGGATTGGATGTTTGCTAGAATCGTTTTAACAAATGGTCGTTAGGCAAACTTTTACTCGGGTAAAAACCGGGCGAAGCCGGGAACATATATATATTATTATAAAGGACTGCGGCGAGTGATTATAAACAATTCTTAAAGTTACACCGCATAAGTTTCTTTTTTTTTGTGAAAAATCAATATTTATTTCAAAGAGAAATATTTACTATTTCTAACTTTTTTTTTTTTTGAATGAAGTATGAGAGGGTGAAAATATGAAGAGTAATGGCGAACGGAAAAATAAAAGCGTCCAGGGGCGGGAATCGAACCCACAACCTTCTGCTTACCGGGCAGGTGCCATGTCCACTAGGATACCCTGGACGTATTTCTCCGTTCGTAAATAATATTTAAAGTAACTTATAATACATTATAAAGGATTGCGGCGAGTTTTTCACCCTCTCATACTTCATTCAAAAAAAAAAAAAGTTAGAAATAGTAAATATTTCTATTTGAAATAAATATTGATTTTTCACACAAAAAAAGAAACTTATGCGGTGTAACTTTAAGAATTGTTTATAATCACTCGCCGCAGTCCTTTATAATGTATTATAAGTTACTTTAAATATTATTTACGAATGGAGGAATACGTCCAGGGTAGCCTAGTGGACATGGCACCTGCTCGGTAAGCAGAAGGTTGTGGGTTCGATTCCCGCCCCTGGACACTTTTATTTTTCCGTTCGCCATTACTCTTCATATTTTCACCCTCTCATACTTCATTCAAAAAAAAAAGTTAGAAATAGTAAATATTTCTCTTTGAAATAAATATTGATTTTTCACAAAAAAAAAAGAAACTTATGCGGTGTAACTTTAAGAATTGTACATATATATATGTTTGTCGGCTATGCACGCCCTCAATATGTAACTAAGCTCGCTGAAATTTGAACAGGACAGAGTTAAATCTGGAAGAGTTTTTGCCGCACTCTTAACAAAGAAAAATTATAATTAGCCAAGTACTGATACTCGGATAAAACCCGGACGAAGCCGGGTACACATCCGCTAGTAATTTATAAATAAGTGGGTTCAAAGTTAATCCATTAATAGACAAAAATACATTCAAGAAAAAATAGTAACGATCAGGTGTTGATATTACAAAAAAAGGTATATATTGACAGCTCACATAAGCATTTTTATATGGCTCTTCTATCTAAAATACTAATATTAGGGCATATATTTTTCAATTATTTAAATAATATATTTATTTATTTATGCTTATGAGGTGATACAGCAACGTCTTTACAATAAGAGAGGAGACAAAATGAATCAAATCTAGAAAAAAGAAGTGAGGACTTCTCGGTCATTAAAGTCTGAGAGGCAAGGCCTTCAGCCAGTTCAGGGCTTCCGGGGTGACAGAGTGTAGATTGGAGATTCCTCCATTGAATTTGTACAGCGGGCAGTCATCTAGTATATGGGACATTGATTGTGGGACGTTGCAGGCACAATTTGGATCCTTGGTGTAGCCCCATAACTTCATCAGCTCTGCACACCTTCCCTGTCCTGTCCTAAAGCGGTTTAGAAGCACCCATTCTCGTCGAGGGAGGGATAAACCTGGGATCTTGACACTTGGGCTTGTGATGAGGTTCTTGTTTGGGATATCGGAGCTGATCCAGGAATTTGTCCATGCTTCTGAGATATTAAAATTTTGGGAGAGAAGTTGGTTTCCTCTGGACCATATCGGGTTCCTTGATTTTAGTCTATGTTTTGGGGGAGACTGTAGGATTGGGTTAATTTCGAGGTCGGGTGAATCCAAGAGTTTTTGGTACATTTTCTTGGTGGCTTCATTTCTGCGTAGCTCAGGCGGAGAGATGTGAGCAAGAACTGGAAGCCAGTCGATTCTTGTAGGTTGGCAAACCCCTGTTATAATTCGTAAGGTAGAATTTAGTTGTGTGTCTATTAGCTTCGTGTGGCAGCTCCCCTCCCATACTGGAGCACAATACTCAGCCGTGGAGAAGATCAATGCCAAGGCAGAAGTACGCAGGGTGTTGGCATCACTGCCCCAGGAAGAGCCGGCCAGCTTATGGAGGATATTGTTACGTGATGATAGTTTCCCCTTTAACTTGGTGAGATGAGTTTTGGGGGGGCCCGAGTCCGACTTCCAAGTCGTTCCGCCAAGAGATCAACACCATAGAGGTCCGTACGTCTCTTGACCTCACGGACAATACAGCAGCTACAAATAATATATGTATTATCTGTCGTAGTCGAATGGAAGGGCGCAGCCGTTGTGCATGTATGCTTCGAAAAAGAATTTGTTCCACACTCGTGAACGCGTGCACTCGGCGGTGGCCGTAGCATTCGCCCGCGCTGGCTCCCACGTTTATTTTGTACAGTGTATTTATAGATGGATGAATTTGTATTTACAATTTAACATACTAATTATGGCGATAATAAATTATTTCTCTTGGGCATTAGGCAAATTATGACATATACCAAACAATGATAGCTCCTTATTTTCTTAAGGACTGTATTTTGTTCCTTAATAAGGCTCCACTCTGCTGCTGCCTACCCCGTGTATTCCTATCAAGCCAACACACCAACACTATGAGACACACACACTTTATTTAAACAACAAAACTATATTGTTGTAGTGTCCAATGAAGAGCCTCAGATGTCTCCATGCATCTCTATCACAGCAGCAGCAATGTCCACTATCTTGGGAGTGTAAAGCTGCTGCTCTGGGTCCATGTCAATTTTCTGTTGTTGTAGTGTCCAATGATGATCATTAGATGTCTCCATGCATCTCTATCGCAGCAGTAGCAATGTTCACTATCTTGGGAGTGTAAAGCTGCTGCTCTGGTTCCATGTCAATTTTATGTTGTTGCAGTGTCCAATGAAGAGCCTCAGATGTCTTCATGCATCTCTATCACAGCAGCAGCAATGTCCACTATCTTGGGTGTGTAAATCTGCTGCTCTGGGTCCATGTCAATTTTCTGTTGTTGTAGTGTCTAATGAAGAGCCTCAGATGTCTTCATGTATCTCTATCACAGCAGTCGCAATGTCCACTATCTTGGGTGTGTAAAGCTGCTGTTCTGGGTCCACGTCAATTTTTCTGTTGTTGTGTCCAATGAAGAGCCTCAGATGTCTCCATGCATCTCTATCACAGCAGCAGCAATGTCCACTAACTTGGGTGTGTAAAGCTGCTCTTCTGGGTCCATGTCAATTTTCTGTTGTTTTCGTGTCCAATGAAGAGCCTCAGATGTCTTCATGAATCTCTATCACAGCAGCAGCAATGCTGCTTTATGTTGTTTTGTTATAAGGTACGTTGTGTAATTAATTGGAATTGAATAATGACAATAATTATTGACTTACTATCAATGAGTAAAGATTCAGAAAATGATAAATCTACCATGCATCACCTTGTAGTATAAATAAATAACTTCCCTTCATATAAATACTGATTGTTGATATGATCAGTAATTTCACGAAATAGGTATTCACTAATAATTCATAACACACTCTACATTTAGCATAATTTCCGAATCTGCATATAGTATATCAAATATATTGTGCATATCCACGCGATATATGCACTATTACATTCAAAATGATGTACAATATAAAGTATAAAGAAGAAGCTCCCCTCTCCCGTCAAATAAACGTCAAAACCAGACGCCATCTATAGACAGCCACCGAAAACTAGCGTCCTCAGGTCGGTGATAAAGCCACAACACCAGCTGTAATGGAATATTCCATTGGATCCCTTGTGGATCTCATGGAATAAAGTCTGCCCTTGGCTGAAGCGGGCCATTAGTCTGAAACCATGGTCGTTAGGTGGACACTTCTCAGTTTGCCAAAGCTGGTGTTGTGACCTTGTCACCGACCTGAGGCCGCTCGTTTACAGCGACAGTCAATGGATAGCGTCTAGATTTGATGTTTGACGGAAGAGATAACCTTTGTTTGTATAGATAAATATCCTCCCAAAAAATCACCAAATATTAAGTATATGATAATATATCTGAAAAGTTTGTATATCCAGAAAAAAACTTTATAAATTGGAATGGTGACTCTTTGGATATTCCTTCAACTAAGACGTATAAGGTTCTGGAGAACAATGGAGTAGAATATCTGTGAGCAGCTTGAAAATTATTATATTATATTATATTATTATATTGATCTTCTCTTTTACCTCAAACCGGCGTTGTCGTATACTCAGTTCCCTGAATGCTGAATTAGTGATTACGGCTCTAATTAAAACTCATTGTTGATCTTGATGATAAACGTCTTATTTCAACAAATGCGTTCAACATAATCAACATTACAAACAAAGACCGAGCACACAATTACATCCCAAAATATCACAGATTTATTTTATTATGGTGCATTAGTGCGCCTGTGTTATGAGATATTTAGAATATTATTTTGACGTGTATGTTTCTTTTGAAATATAAACAATATTCTATATATATTACAGTAATATATATATCATTAGGAAATTATTTCATTTCAAAAATAATCATTTGCATCAAAAATAGTTTTTAAATATCATATAACAGATTTATATGATAGAAGAAAAGCTTTCTAAATGAATATATCACAAACTTTCTTCCTAACAACTTTTAAAAATTAAGATTTATTACAGAGTAAAACAATAGAATAGTATATATGCTAAGAAATAATCTATATTGAAGATAGAGTAGAGTGTAAGTTGGTAATAATTGAAGATATTTCGCGTTGATAGCGGAAATAGATATGAAAAAAAGGAATTGGTAACTAACTAACAGAACTATCTCAGCTGCAAATCTGTTGTAATAGTTAATGCCCTAAACTATTACAATACCCATATCTATGAAGTTGGAAGGGACTTGATAGGATTACTGAGCGAATCTCTGGAGTTCCGATAATTGGGCGGAGAGAAAATCCTCCAGTGAATTAATCTCCGCCGTGTAATCCGGAGTTGCAATTAACTCTCGTGTAGGAAAAATGACACTGCCTGGTTTATTTACCTTCATAACGCTGATATAAAGGAGGGTCGGTGGAAGGATGGTCTAAACCGTTAGTTTTGGACCGCTATGACCCGGGCTCGATTCCCGCATTGGGCACTTTTTTTTCTGATTTAAAAAAATTCTCCAAAGGCCCCCGATTCTTGCAAATGTCCAACCCCACTAGAGAGTGTAAGTAACCAAACGGTGCTCTTGCATATTTTTAAAGTGCTAGCCGAACTGATTTCCACATTTGTAGACATGTGGTGCACTTACAGTAAGAGCAATCCCCTACTTCTATCCACCATGATTATCATGGCCTGTACCACGTGTACTAGGGATAAGAAAAAAAAAACACTGACATAAATCTCTGGTTCTATTCCATTCCACGAGGTCTTTATACAGCGATATAGCCAGGATATGATAGCTAGCTTACAAGCTCCTGAAAATTAAGCATTTCAAATAATCTTTAAGTAACAACCACTATACATATCTCGTATTTTTATAGTTTTATTTATTTTTAGTCACTTATTACAAGTCAAATGTTATTAGTCTTTATAATCATTGTTGTTATGATTCTGTAGTTGCAATTACTGTAAGCGCACTCATATGTCTATATATGTATAGACCAGTTCTACATTTGCATTTATAATATTCCATCACCCTGTTATGCCCAGAGCAGCAGCTTCACACACCCAAGATAGAAGACATTGCGACTGCTGTGATAGAGATACATGGAGACATCTGG